GTCTTCGCGTTTTCTGACATTATCCCCTGCAGTTACGTGTGAAATATTATAAATGTAATCATGTCATATGACATTCATGCGAATGAATTTTGGAAACAATATTAAAGGATACTTATTTATGATAGCAAATGATACGACGAGGTGAATACACAAAACAAAAAACTCATTATTATAATCTTGATGTTTTGTCTTCTTGATATTTTTGCGTTATACATTAAATGCCAAAGATTATAATTAAAACTTAATTGTAAATAAGTATATAGCGCTCACTTTGTGAAGTACTTAATATTTAATATTAATTCAAGCGGGCCAGTATCTTAAAATGTAAGGAAAAGCGAAAATAATATCTAATGAAAATGTGTTATAGTTTTTAATAACTACCTTGTAAATATCAAGTACCTCGTATGCTGAACAAATTACGGAAAAGGAAAAAAAATTGAAGAAATTAAGCAAGAAGAAAATATACGTGTATCAAAAATGTTTAAATTTTAGTTCTACCCTTACCATCTGTCGCGCCATTATCGAACTCCATGAGAGGTAAGTTTCTCTGTTACGGAATGGCAACGAGAGAGATTGTTGTTAAAAAGATGGATGATCGAACTGCGTTGTAACGATCATTTTTGAGGATGTTGCGTACTGTAAAATGAACTTATTACACTGTGCTAAATAGTATTAAAATGCTATATATTAAAAGATCTTTCATCTGATCTAAATTTTAACAAACCGCTCATTATTTTCTCTTAAACTCACAATGATATTCACGACATTTGCTGGCGCCCCGGGTGGGCGTGTTTGTTGGAAACATGTCGGATGAAAGAATAGATAGGGTAAGTTGATTACCTTATACTTCCGTTTTTCAAGTTATTGATTATTGTTTTACTGAAGTTTAAAATACTTTTCTTGCCTAATTTTTATCTGAATATTTTAAACTTAAGACAAAATGGAAGTGATGAAAAGAAACAAAACTGCGCAACGTTCAGCTTTTACTAAAGCATATAAAAGACTAGATGAACTTTTAAATGATGATAATGTTGATTATGAAGAAGCAGAAATGTGCTTTTATTTGTTCAAGAAAAAGGCAGAAACATTAGAATTGACGCACGATGCTTATTTAGATACTATAACTGATGATAAAGAATTCGAAACAGAATTTGAAATAACAGAGGACTATCGAGAGAAGGCTGTTAGGATACAGTTAAAATCGGAACGATTTCTCGATAATATTAAGAGTAAATTAAACGAAATCCAAAATACATCGTCAGAGTCAGAGAGTAGTCAGAAATTAGTTACTGATGAAAATACATGTAAAAAAACTTTGTGCCAACGCCTACCGAAAGTAGAACTTTATTAAGTTCGCAGGTGATTTAAAAAATTGGCTTACGTTTTGGAATCAGTTTAAAAACATACATGAAAATAATAAACTTAACGAATGCAGACAAATTCCATTATTTGATACAGTCAACAAAAATTAAATCAGAAGCTAGAGATATTGTAGAATCTTTTCCGGTGACGAACGAAAATTATCCTTTGGCTATAGAAAGCCTTTACTGAGAGATATGGGCCGTAAAGAACTTTTTAATTGATTTTTATGTTCGAGAGTTAATAAAACTTGTTTTTGGATAACGCAGCGAAAAAGAAGCAGGATTCTTCGAGAGTAGTTTGTATAACAAACTTTCAACACAACTTAGAGCCCTGAGCAGTCTTGGTGTAAAGACTGATCAGTGTGGAACAATTTTATATCCTCTTGTGGGAAGTGCTATTCCTATTCACGTATTGCGATCGTTTGAAAGACAACGAAAAATTACTGAATCTGAACGAAACATTTCGAGTCTTGATGCAATAATTGAATTTCTGAAAAGCGAAGTTCAGTCAGAAGAAAAAATAAAATTAAGCAGAGCGGATATTTTTTCTAAGTCTGATCGTAAGCACTTGGCAACTAGCCAAAATATTCCTTCCGCGTCGGATTTGATGAATCATGAAGCAATACCTTCTTGTTCGTTTTGTTTAAAAAGATCATGAAACGCGTAATTGTAAAAAGGCGTTTATATTCCGTTAGATGAAAAAATGTCTGCGGTAAAAAAGAAAGGTTTATGCAGAATATGCTTGGTTAAAGGTCACCTCAGTAACCAGTGTCGATCAAGTGTTAAGTGTCAGATTCGTTCAAAAAGGCATTTGAAATTTTTTTGTCCTAGTCTTGAATGTAATAAGTCTAGTGAAATGCATAACCAGGAAAATGATGAGAAAAAAGAGAAAACAATCGATTCTTTGCATTCGCGTGCTACGAATGAAGTTTTCCTTCAGACCCTAGTTGTGAACATAGAGGTAAGAATAAAAGGCGTAAAAGGCGTAAAGTTAGATTAATGATTGATACGGGTAGCTCAAAAAGTTATGTTTTAAAGTCTACTGCAGAAGAAATGGGTTTTGACTTGCAATGGGAGGAAGAATTTAGTCACTCTTTATTTGGTGGAATGAAAACTGAAATTTATAAACATAAATGTTACAAGATTTATTTGAGTAGCCTTGATGGTAAATTATTCGTGTAAATTAGATGCTGTAGACCATGATGTTATTTGTAATGATATTTCAAGCATAAGATACGGTTCTTGGATTCGCGAATTAGGAAAAGAAAGGGAATACGCTTAACTGATACCCAAGGGAATCCAGGCCCTATTGAAGTACTGTTAGGGGCAGACATTGCAGGGAAGTTATTTACTGGCAAACGATGAAGAAGAACTAACAACAGGTTTAGTGGCTATAGAAACAAAATTGGGTTGGACTTTGATGGGTAAAGTACCTCAATCCGAACATCAGCACAATGTAAATATGACTATAGTTTCTATGTTATCTCAAGAAAGACCTGCCTATTTCATCGTTGTGGGACTTAGAATTATTGGGTATCCGAGATCCTGTTGAACAAAAAACTAAAGAAGAGTCAAGAAGAGCTATTATGGTTCATTTCCAAGAAACAGTTCGTTAAATAGAAAATGGTACATTCAAGGTTAATATGCCTTGGAAAATTGAGCATGCAGTCTTACCTGACAATTATGACCATCTTTGAAAAAGACTCGAATCTACTACGAAGAAAGTTGGAAAAAATCAGATATAGTAAAAAGTATCATGAAGTCTTTAATGAATGGCTGCAGGAAGGAGTGATTGAAGAAGTTCCCCAAAAGGAGTTGTCTTTACCCGTTGTTCATTACCTCCCACATCGTCCAGTCATTAAAGAAACGTCCTCACTATCTTCCATGAAAATTAGACCCGTTTTTTGATGCTTCGGCAAAGCTTTCTAATCAGCCATCTCTAAATGACTGCTTAGAGACTGGAATTAATTTGATTGAAACTATTCCTTCTATTCTAAGCAAGATTTCGCTTACATGAAATTGGTGTGATTTCAGACATCAGGAGAGCTAGCTTTTTTACAGATATCTCTAAATGAAAGAGATCGAGATTTTTTACGATTTCTTTGGTATGGTGATGATGGTAGAGTGAAGACATTTTCGTCACATCCGTGTGGTATTTGGCATTACTTGTAGTCCATTTTTTGCTGATGGCGGTTATTGACCATCATTTAATCCAAAGAATCGTGGAAAGAAAAATATTCTGAAGAAGCTTCTTAAAAAATTACAAGATAGTTTTTATGTCGATAATTGCGTAACTAGTGTACAAAATAATGACGAACTAGAAATATTCATCGAATCTGCAACTAATGTAATGAAAGAAGGAATGTTTGATCTCAGAGGATGGGAAAGTTCTGGCATTCCTGCATTTTCAGAAAGTAAAACATCACCGGTATTAGGACTGGTTTGGGACAAAGATTTAGATACCTTGGAAATAGACACCGAATTTTTTAAATTTGATGAAAGAGAAAAAGTAACTAAAAGGAAAATGCTTTCACTAGTTAGTCGAGTATTTGATCCCATAGGTTTCCTTGCACCTGTTATGATTCAGCCTAAGATTTTGCTGCAGGCCGCTTGGAAAGAGCAAAGAATCATGGGATGATGAAGTGAATGATGAAAATTTAAAGAAGAATTTTTAAAATGGGGAAAACAACTGAAATACCTCAAAAATATAAAAATTCCAAGATGGTTAGGTGTGATGAAGGAATCCAATTTAAGTATCCATACTTTTGTCGATGCCAGCAAGACAGCTTATGCGGCATGTATTTTCTTAAGAAGTGAATCCAGTATGGATTCAGTGACTGTTCAATTACTTCAAGCCAAATCACGAATAACTCCAACGAAGACTATTACTATACCACGTCTTGAACTAATGGCTGCTACCATAGGTGCTAGGCTGTTTAGTTCTGTGAAGCAAGCTTCTAAAACTTCCCAACATCAAGATTTACTTTTGGGACAGATTCTTCCACAGTTCTTGTGTGGATAACTCGTCGAGAACAGTGGTCGGTATTTCGTTACAAACAGAATAAGTGAAATTAGAAAATTGACAACATTCGGAAGATTGGTTCCATATTTCAACTGACCAGAATACAGGAGACATTTTGTCAAGAGGTTGTGGACCTAGGCAACTTCAGGAAACGCAAAGTGGTGGCAAGGGCCAGCCTGGTTGAAGAATCCGAAGGAGCAGTGGCCAAAGTCAGCTGTAAATATAACGAAAAAGAAGTAGGATAGAGAGAAGAAACGAACAGTCAGTCATCTCTGCTAGTAAACGCAGAACTAGAGTCAATTCCATTACAGTTAGCCAGAAGATTCTCTAGATTTTCAAAGATGATTAGGGTTATGGCTTGGATACTGCGTTTTCAACCAAAGGCCAAGGACTTAAGAAAATGTAAGGAACTTCAAAATGAAGAATTGTTAAATGCACAAAGGACTATTTTCCGTGTAATACAAAAGGAATGTTACTCTAATGAAGAAACACGAAAAAATTTGAAAGGTCTTCTAATATTTGAAGATGAAGAAGGAATTTTACAATTGAAGTCCAGATTGATAAATGAGGAAGAATCGAAAGATTTTATTTCTCCAATAATTCACCATCGAAACACCATGGACAGTGAGAAGATTTATAGCCACAAGAACATATTGCTAACAAGCATGCTGGGAACATTAACTCTACTGACAATTTTACGGGAAAGATTTTGGATAGTGAAAGGGAAAAGAACTGTCCGGAGTGTTATCAAAGAATGCTTAACATGTACAAGGCAAAAGGTAAAACATCTTGAGGTACCTTTTCCGCCTCTTCCAAACGACCGAACAGAAGTAGAAGCAGTTTTTCAAGTATCAGGTGTAGATATAGCTGGACCTCTGTTGACTAAATCTAAACAAAAGGTGTGGATAGTACTTTTTACTTGCGCCGTATTTAGAGCTGTCCATCTTGAGCTAATACCTTCACTGAGTACCAACGACTTCATCCAAGCTATGCGTAGGTTTATAGCCAGAAGAGGACGAATTTCTGTGATGTATTCAGACAATGGTATTAGTTTTACAGGACTAAACAACGCTCTAAAACAATTAGACTGGACTACAATTGAAAGTGAATTTAAGAGTCAACGAAACTCGTTAGAAAGTTTATCCCACCCTCCTTCTCCATGGTGGGGACGCTTCTGGGAACGCTTGATTGGGATTTTGAAAGATCTTTTAAGAAAAAAATCTTGGGACGCTCCTGTTTGTCTTACGAGGGAATCGCAGACTCTCGTCTGTGAATGCGAATCTATCATGAACAGCAGACCGTTAACTTACATATCCGAGGAACAAGATCTGAAGACCTTGACCCCCTCAATGTTTCTCAGGACATTCCATTAAATGATGTTCCTGATTTGGATCAAATTGAAAAGACTAATATTGTTTTGAGATGGAGACATATTCAAAAGGTTCGTGAAAATCTAAAACGAAGGTTTAAAAGGAAGTATCTGGGTTTCCTTCGTTCTTCAATTAACAAAAGAGAAGATAAAATAAATGTAGGTGACATAGTGTTAATTGGTACAGATGATAAAAAAAGGCTCCATTGGCTGCTAGGGAGAGTACTGGAACTCTTTCCAGGAAAAGATTGAATCATCAGACTTGTGAAACTGCGAACTGAAAAGGGAAAGGGAAAACATATTAAGACCAATCCAACGACCTGTACCCTTTGGAATTGACACCAAATTACGAGCAAGTCGTATCGGAACCTCAGAAGGTTCCACGGAAGTGGTAAGCTGAAAATCCTGAGCTTGAATAACTGACTCTAATGAAACTTGTTCCGCGTGTCTTCGCTCAGGACGAAAAATAAAACCAGTTAAAAGACTGGTATATATATAAACTTCTAAACAAACTTTTGAACTTTCTGTATTTGAACTCTAAAATATTGACTTGTTAGCATTCTAATATTTTGTTTTCAGTTTGCATTCTAATATTTTGAAATATTTCTATATTATTATGTACGTTATTTGTACATTACTGTTATCTCAAATTGTATCATATGTATTATCATTATATTACTGTTTTGAGTTTGTATCCCCAAACTCAAGGTGGGGAGAATGTCGCGCCACTATCAAACTCCATGAGAGGTAAGTTTCTCTGTTACGGAATGGCAACGAGAGAGAGAGATTGTTGTTCAAAAAGATGGATGATCGAACTTGCTGTTGTAACGTTTCATTTTGTGAGGATGTTGCGTATTGTAAAATGAACCTTATTACACTGTGCTAAATAGTATTAAAATGCTATATATTAAAAGATCTTTCATCTGATCTAAATTTTAATAAACCGCTCATTATTTTCTCTTAAACTCACAATGTTCACGACACCATCCCTATTCACTGTAACTGCGTTTTGACTGTCTCAAGATACAATTTTAATTAAAAAATTTTATAAAGGAAAATTATTATTTTCGCAAGCACGTAATTTTCTGTTACTTATGTCTCAAACTAATTCATTTAAGAATAATAATATACCAAGTTTGCTGAAGTTTTTCATGTTCATTCACAATCTAAAAGTCAATTTAACAGATTACATTCAGTTGAACAGTTTTTATCACTGTTTTTACAATCAAGGTATTATAGGCTCCCAGTAATAATAAGCTTAATTTTTTCTGAATTTAAAATTTTGTATTTCTAACGTTTGCAACACAGTGCAGTTGATTTTAATTAAATGCAGTTTGCGCTTGGTATTACTCTTCTATGTTATCTATTAGTTGAATTGTAAGTACGCTAATGGAAGAATATCCAGCAAAAAGCTACCTGCAGGTAAATTTGAATTATTATGCACATCCTTATTATAGCCATCTCAAGTATTCAGACTGATTGCAATTATAATGACTTCACATGTTTATACTGGTATCCTAAGCATGTGCTGCTCTAAGGATTTCCTTTTGAGGTGGATTACAGATGTTCATAAATTACTCGTATTATAAAAATATTTATTATAACCTAATTTAAAATATTGTTGAAGATATCGATTTCATTTTAATTGCATTTTCTAATAATTCTGTTTTTATATAAACATCAAATGTTTTCAGATGAATTCAAAAAGTTTTCTTTAATATTTCTGCTTATTTATGTACATATTTCTAGCAATATTTCAATAATTTAGTAATTAAAAATCTTAGACGGAACACATTTGTACAGTTCACTCGGTTAAGAGTTTATACTAATTAAACTCGTGTAATTAATTATGTCTTACTTGTTAAAATCATAACTACGCATTTGAACGCATACCATTTCCATTTATTTCTTGAATTATTTTATCTAAGTTATATTTTATACAACATTCTTATCACTAGTTTTAGCTCCAGCATTCTGTTTGGTTTAACCAGTTGTAAACTTCTAGCTTATTGTGCAACTCATGGAACATTTAATTTATTCTTTACAGAGCTTTTGAATGAGTTAACGGAATTAATTTCAGCAACGCCAGAGTAAAAATGTATGTTGGAGACATATGACGTCAAATTGCGTTTGTGAGCAATGAATAGGATAGCTTTGGTTTTTTGAATTATATCCTTTTCTACGTCAAAAACTTTGAGTGGAGTGACATGCAGACAGTAAATATGAACTCAGTGGATTAATTTTCTGCAGTTTCGTTTTAATGCTTGAATGTCTGTGGAATGAATTTGTGTAACAAACCGAACACTTGGCTTGTATATATCATTTAACTATAGCTTTAAACCTTGTTTTTAAATCCACTGAATGTGATCTGTGGGGAAACATTTAAAACTGCGATTGGGGAAGACATGGATATGTGAATGAATTCTATTTCCTTCAGTTAAACACTTTTTGATCTAAATAGTCAGATAGTTGCTGTTATGCCAATAAATAACAACAGACATATGCTTGAAATGTATGCATATGAAGTTTAAATCGGTCAGAGTTGCTTGATGAATGATAATGAGCACGTGCGCTAGGCTGATAGAATTTTCAAATATTGAACTACAAACCATTATTAGTGAAAGTAGAGGTCTATGTAAATCGCTACACAGAAAATCACTTTAAATCGAATAATGCTTTTAAGTGCTTTCGTTTAAAAGATTTTGATTCAAAATTCGTTGGAGAAACACGTTTAACAAAATTAATAACATTTTAAAATATTATACTACATTTTAAAGTATAATGTTATTATTTTAGTAATGCTGCAAATATACGTGACTTATACTGCTACTAAACCCTGTCAAATTCAGAGTAGTTTAAACATTTCCAACATATGCTCTCCTACCGCAATTTCAAATTCGTATTTAGATTGATCTTTTTTGAGATAAGAAATATTGAAAATAATACCTTTCTTCGTAAAATAATGTTGACCAATATATAATACTATTACCGAAATGCATTATTCTCTCACTGGGCAACAGATATGCATCTATTTTTATATATTTTTATTTTAATGTTCCTGAGGCTATCGATCATCGCAGTTTAGTTGATGGTCAAACCCGTAAAACGGCGATTTTGATACTTTTCTCGTGCAAATCGTATCGATAAATTTTATGTAAGTGCTTTTAGATGGTTTTTTGATTTCAGCGGGTACTGAGCGCAGTCGAAAAGAAATTGAATATAAAACGCATTACGGAGTGCTATGAAATAGAACAAATATATCACGTTATTCGTTTCTTTTCACTTTATGTTTCCAAAATACACATATCATATTTGCTTTGTTTCTGATACATTTATCATACATTTCTAACAGGCTCTTGACATACTGGATTAAGATAGAACACCACCCTGATAACTTCTGGATATTTTAACTGTCTGATTATTTACTACATTATGACCTTTCTTTGTTTACATAGATCTTTGTAGAAAGAAAAGTAATGTTATCTATTTGTTATAAGTAGAATGTTCTGCTTAAAAAACAATAAATTGTAGTGAAATGAAAGAAAGTTGCGTGCGAGTGAAATAAATGAAATTTAATTGTCGTATGTAAGATAATAATCAATTTAATTCAACACATCCTAAATTGATTATTTATAATCAACGACTTTAAAGTAGATTTGATACTGAGTATGGGTTTTCAGTGGGAGTCTTAAATGTCATATTTCGTCTATAATGAATTCCGGCGCTTTTCATATGTCTATGGCTAATATGCATACTAAGGTGAACCAAGCAGAACATTTTGTATTTTCTATGATACCTTGATCCAAGTTTAGTTTATTCTTTATAACTCAGTGAAATAAACGTGGTAGATAATAACACTTCTGCAGAATAGAGTTGTTTAATTATGAATCATTCAGCTGCCTCCCAATCATATCTGACTTCGAAAGGATGTAAAGAATACAATCATTTTTGCTGTACGGTCTGATAGCGTATTGAACAGTATATTTATTCGGCAGTGTAAAGATACGTACAAGAAAGCACAGGAAAAGTACAAAGATGAATTTTTCTAATGCACTTTCCTAAGATATCTAGCTCCTATATTCTACAAAAGTTGATGATACATAAGGATGATGGAGTATAATTCGTCACCAAATTAAAACTGATTGCTAGTAACGGACTTCAGTAGACTTTACACATGAGGAACATCGAAAATTAAGGTATTCTTCACTTCTTGGTTTAAAAGGCGCATTAGGCAATCCGAAGATTTTATCTTGAAATTCAAACAAAGTCCAGGGTATTTTATTGTGACAACTTGAATTTAAGTTCATTATTCCTTTTCACATCGTAGTGGAGTTTACTATTTTCGTTCTCTCGTGTACATTTTTATAATTTCAATGGGTATTAGAGAAGCTTAGTTTATGAGCTTCAGATTCCTCCCCGTAGAATTCATGGAATCATTTCCTATTTGTAATAATTTTTGCTTTATTATAGAAAAACGAAAATAATATACTTAAGTTAAATTATATTCCAGGATATTAACGACTGAAAAGATCACCTCCAAGAGAAAATATTAGTAACTTGGAGGAAAAAATAAGATTATAAGTATAATCATATCAATGGAATTTATGTAAACAAATAGGTTACATTATTCATGAACGCTAAGCAAAAAAAATCTGATGTGTACACCACATGACTTCCTTGTACGGAATATTAAATTATACGCATTTTTTCTTGCATTTCGTTTAAACTTATTGTATTGAATTAAATCTACTTCGCCGGCAGGGCATAAACCACAGTAGAATAAATGCATTCTTTAAAATTCACTCTATTTGTTTACCATAGCGACACTCTGGCGCTAGGTTCACTTAACAGTATTATGTTTCTTTCATATTATAACTCAGAATACACAAAATGTATATCATTTAAAGAATTATTAATCGTTTCCACATCTATTAAAATACTATAATAAAGCTAGAACGTTGTATAAAATAAATTAAGCAAACCAAACAAAAAAGAAACATATTT